AGACAACACACACAGGAGGTTTTAGTTGAAGTCAGGTGGAAAGCCCCAAAGGTCCCTAAGGGCACCAGTAAAGTAGATGATCATCTTTGTTGGTGCCATTTCCATTGATTAAATCATCATGTTTTAAGCTATTTGACATTGCCGGTGGCTATGGTGGTGAGAACTGCGGAGGCTGAGTAGGCAGGGCCTCAGTACCTGCGGAGGTAGTTGTTACTGGCGTCTTTGCAAGGACTGCTTGGTGGTGGTGGCTGCCAGGGCCAGGATGGTGGCAGGGCCAGTGACCTGGGCTTCCTTGGCCATTGGTGTCAGTCAAGTTGGGTCAATAAGCATTGGCAGTACTGATGGCAGTGTAGACCCTTCTTCAAAAGGGTTGCTTTCCTTAATGATAGCTGGAGGAGGGGAAGATGCTCAAACAGGGCCAGTGGTGTGTCTCCATCAGGATCTGAGGGGAGGGCACTCAGGGGCCATGTGATCCAACCCACATCCAAACGGGAATGCCTTCTCCAGAATCATGGACAAGTTGTCATCCAGCTTTCCCTTGAAACAAGAAGGAATGACAAACCCTCTTGCCTCACTTGGGCTTAGCATAGCCTTTTGCCCACTTAGCAAGGGATACTGCCAGGGAGGTAAAGGCTTTGCCAAGGTAGATCTCAATGCCATCATGCTTTAAGAGACCGTCATGAGTTATAAGGGAAAATGATCCATCACCAGGTGGCCATTTCCCTAAGAATAAGCCCCTTCAAACCCAAACTGGTCTTTGGGTCACAGACACAAAGACCATTGTCAGGCCCATAGCTGTAGCCTTTCCAGAGTGGGAAGATTTACCCAAACTCTACGTCTTTGGAAACACCTTTGAGAACATCTCCAAACCACCAGGGGGCACTTGAGAGTTTTATACCGAGAAAGCATTAATTTTTTTTTTCAAAGAATGAAGTAGAAACAATTAATGTTTAAATTCAAACCTTCAAAATTAACCACTGAAACTAGACTAATTTGATTCATTGCCATTTCAAATGTAGCCAAATTAGTCAAGGAACTCTGAGATGTTGTGATTCTCTATGTAATGGGGACAGTAAAACTGTTATCTTCCAAGGCAAATGACTTCCCCTTACCTATGATATCCTGGGAAGCATCCCCAGATAATTGAAATAACTCCATCCTGTTAGCTCAAGAAAGATGCACTGGCCCAATGAACTACTGGGAGATGGAAATTAGGGGGATTCTGACAAGCATCTAAAAAGGCCCTAACATAGAAACACAGGAGGGGCACCACCCAGGTGCTGTGGGGAGAGGGCATCAGGAACAATGTCTATATACATTAACAATATTAACAATAAACGCAGCTTCCCCAATGACTACTTTTAATGCTATGAAATTTTCAAAGGCCCAGCAGGAATGGCACTTTGAGAATTCACACTCCACTATTTCCAAGCCCTTCCTCCCTCTTTTGCTAATTCATCTATGATGCTCATCCTTCAGGTAATCTACTTTCTTTCTCCGCTCATGGTCACATTTCCTTGTTTCTCCTTCTAGGAAACTGAGGCATATGCTGTATAATTTGCAATAATTTTTCCACTCTGATTCTGAAAAATGTCTCTCTATCCATAATAGGCTATAGACTCGAGTTATTCATTTTTAATCCAAGATTTATATAGCCCCTCTGACTATGGACTTGTTACTGCAGCTTTAAGAGGGAATAGAATCTTGAGAAAGAAACAATCCAATTGTCCTCTGGAATGTTAACTGATCTGGCTGGAGAAAGGCTGGGTGAGATACAAAGATAAAGGACTAACGAAACGTTGAGACTGAGAAAGTTAATTTATCTCTGAGGAAGATTAAAGAAATGTTCTTATGCTGTGGAGGTGACCTGAAGACAGTTCTTGTGAGAGTCTGACTGACATACAGAGAGAGCAGAAAAGTAGCACTGTGGTTTCTAGAGTCAAGAAGAAGTCAACAGTTGTAATTAATGGTTAGAGGGAACTCTGGCTATTAGCTTTCTCACTGCAACACATTGTGGAATTACTGAAATATGACTTCGTATTGTTTGCCACAATTTATTTATAAATAAATTATATAGCCAACACTATTGATGTTTGAACCTATTAGACAAGGGATTTTGAGAAAGGGAGAAAAGAGAAAAAGCTTATGGGAAAAGGGGTTTTCCTATTTTATTTTTCAAACTGAGGTGGGAAAGATTGTGCCTTTCTACTAACTTATGAAGAAATATTAGAACATATCTCTTGATTGTCTTAAAACCTTAGAGTAAAAATTAATAAGGCAAGGAATCAAGCAGCAGGCTGAGGGATGGGAGTTCAGTTATTACCATAATACACACACAGCTATACTTGGGGTGGTCATCACTAAAACTGACTATGCATTCATTGTTTTAAAGTTGTTTTTCCTTGTGTTAACCTTTTGCTTTGTGGTTGATTTGTCTATCACAGACTAGGGCCAATCTTATCTCCTGTAGGAATTTCTGGAATTCTTCAGTTAAAAAATGATTTCTCCCAGAACAACATGCTTAGTTTTACTGGATGGGTAATTTTGAAATTGGTTTCCCTAGATTCCTTAGTATATAACATTATAGATTCTTTTTTTTTTTGTCTTAAATAAGAAATCATGTGGGACTTCTGGTTGTTGAGTTTTTATTTTTACTATATTACGTCTTTCTTCCTGGCAGCTTGCAATATCCTTACTCTGTTGCTGATATTTTGGAGTCTAATAACAGCACAACCGTGTGAATTAAACTTGGGATTCATCTCTGTCAGCAGCCTGTGAACTGCATGGATTTGTACCATACAACCTGTTATGGATACTTTGGAGAAATCTCACGTATGGTTTTGGGAAATAAGTAAATCAGAGAAGTTTTCCTTCAGAATTTTCTAGGGCAAAATAATCTTCAGGTTTTCTATCTAAGGGAATGTCTTTATTTTCTTTGTTTCTACACTCATTGAACCTTAGAGTTGTGTTGATTTTAAGATGACTTTAAGATTCATTTTTATTGCTTCTCTTGCTACCTGCCTTTTTGTCTTCCATGAAAACAATTCTATTCCTCAGAGACTTAACTATTTTATTACGATCTGCTAACAAACGATTCAAACTGCCGAGTCTCCGAGTTGTCCTTTTGTGCTCTTGCCTTACAGATTTCATCTCCATCTATTCCAGAACTCCTTTAATTCTTTTAGTGAGCTTGTTGCTTGTGTTTAAATGTTGTAAATGCATTTTCCTTTCCGGAATCCTTGATAATGTTGTTTCCTTATATTTTTTTCCCTTCATACCTTCTCTTCAGTTTTCACCATGCATAATAATTAACTACAGTGCAGCCTTTTGCTTTTGTCTGCCCATTTTAAAAGTCCGTCTTTTTCTTTTATTGAGAGGTGATTTTTGTTTTCCATGAGGATTTTTTGGCTCCTCATTTGCCTTTGTTCTATTCATTGCTGTTTTTGAGATGATCGTAGGGAATTGGGTTTTCTTTTGGTTTCTTCCTCTCATTTAATAGGAGAAACTTCAAGGAGTTGAAGTGACTTATATAGGTATTAAATAGGAAAAGCAGGACTCAGACTCAGGCCCTCTGATTTCTACTTGGTCTAACTTTGCCTCAAGTCGGTCTCTCTCTCTGTCCTCACTCCAATTCACATTCATCTTCTACTCACTTCACAAAGCCAGTTTTCTAAAGCATAGGTCTGACCATGTCACACTCTTACTTAATAAACTACAGTGGCTCCCTATTATCGCAAAGATCAAATATACCCTCCTCTGCTTTAAGGCCCGTCACAGCCCATCCACTTCCTACCTTTCCAGTATGCTTTACTCCCCTCCAGGCATTTTACAATCCAGCTATGCTGGCTGGCTTGCTGTTCCTCACACTCACAACACCAACACCCCATCTCTAGTCTCCATGCATTTGCATGGGCTCTCTCCCAAACCTGGAATGCTCTTCTCCTTCCTTCCCTGACTCTTCTGTTCCATGGCTTCCTTCAAGACTCAGGTCCAACCCCATCTTTTGTAAGACGCCTTTCCCATTCTACCTACCTGCTAATGCCTTCCTCTTTAAGATTACTTCCCACTTTCTCTGTGGGTGTCTAGGTAGCACAGTGGCTTGAGTGCCAGGCCTGGAATCAGGAAGACTCATCTTCTTGAGTTCAGATCTGGCCTCAGACACTTACTGATGTGGTGACCCTAGTCACTTTACCCTGTTTGTCTCAGTTTCCTCATCTGTAAAATGAGCTGGAGAAGGAAATGGCAAAACACTCCAGCATCTTTGCCAGCAAAACCCTAAATGGTGATCGTGAACAGTTGGACACGACTGAAACAACTGAACAACAACCCATTTACTCTGAATTTCTCTTGTATGTACCTAGTTAATTGCACATTGTCTTCCCCATTAGAATAAAAGCTAAGTGTCATAGAATGCTGGACTTGGAGTCATGAAGACCCAAGTTCAAATCCAGCCTCAGATACTTATTAGTTGTATGACCCTGGGTAACTCACTTAACTCTCTCAGCCTCAGTTTCTTCATCTGTAAAATGGGGATAAAAATAACACCTATCTCCCAGGGTTTTGAGAATCAAATGAGATTTTAAACACACATTCATACACCCACCCATATCAGTACACACACAAAATGCTTTACAAACCCAAAGTGCTATGTAAATCTTAGCTATTATTAAGTTCTTCAAGGGCAGGGATGGTTTTTGCCTATCTGTATCCCCAGTGCTTAGTACAATGACCGAGTACTTAAAAGATGCTTGTGGGCAAAATGAATGACTGATTCTGATTTCAGTCCTCTTTCCACTTAATGAATTCCAAAGCCAATCACCATGGATACCACTGTTCCTTTGATTAACTTTTCTTGTTAGCCCACTACTTAAATATTTTCTAAAGCTGTTATATTTTTATGGGGGAGGGGTGCCTATTGCTTTTGAGACTTCTTATTTAGAACAGTATATTAATTTCTAAATTGTAAGTATAAATTTCAGCATTTTGCAAAGTTAACTTACTGTTAATGACTGAAGCTCTCTGGTTTCCTCTTCTGCTGCGGAAGCATGATATGATAGAACCTACACAGTGTGGGGAAAAAAAGGTACAAAGTACATACTTCATAAATGAGATACTTATGTATTTACAGATTGTAAAATCTGGTTCTAAACTTGAACCCCATCAAATATCACTGGACAGTTAAATAGGCAGTCCCAGGGATTTTTCAATGTACGTGTAAGTTTAGCTGGCCTCTTCAGGTAAGAAAAAAAGAACCCCCCGCATCAAATTCCATTTCTCCCAGAAATGGAAAAGTTTATTCTTTTCATGTTTAAAGAAAACTCTCCCTGAAATTTCCAGTTTTGATATTGTTGACATAAGAGCTACAGTGTTTAGACATGAGACAAGAAGAAAGCGCTTATTGGCTAAAACTTGGCCAATGTTTTTTCTGTTCATTTTTTCTAATACAAAGCATAAAATATAAACATTCATGTATCTATTCCTTAGTCATTTTTTAGCTGAAAATTGTAAGAAAAACAGAAAAGAGGGAAACTATTGACTTCATTTTGATTAGACAAGAGTGATTTCTGCACATGTCTGGGTCCTCCATTCTGCTCCATTTTTTCATCTCCCTAGGCTTTGTTTCTTCATCTGTAAAATGAAGCGGCCAGACCAGATGGCCCGATGCTCTGAATCTGTGACCCTATGAACCTCTGAACTGCTAAAAGGCCTTCTGTGGAAACTCAGAACTTACTGAGACATGAATTCAGAGACTCTTCAAAGTTACAGCTCACACTGGTGTTTATCAGGCTAAATGACAGTGGTCTCAAGATTCTGTGTCATGGGTGGCTAGTAGGTGCAGTGGACAGAGCGTTGCACCTGGAGTTAGGAAGGCCTGAAGTCACATCCTGCCTCGGATAAACTGTGGGACTCTGGGTAAGTCACTTAGCCTCTGTCTGCCTCAATTCCCTCATCCGTCAAATAGAGATAATAATAGTACCTATCTCCCAAAGTTGTCATGAAGATAAAATGGGATAATATTTGCAAAGTGCTTTGTAAACCTTAAAGGGGTATGTGACAATAACTAATATCTATATGGTGCTTAATATGTGCCAGGACTATGCTAAGCACTTGATCCTCACAACAACCCTGGGAGGTAGGTACTGCTATTATCCCCATTTTACAGATGAAGAAACTGAGGCCAACAGAGGTTAAGTGACTTGCTCAGGGTGACACAGCTAGTAAGTGCCTGAGGTCAGATTTGAACGCAGTTCCTCCTGACTCCAGGCCTGGTGCTCTATTTACTGTACCAATAGCTACCCCCAATATTTAATAGGCATAAATGCTAGGTAATTTTTTTTCAACAGACCCATGGAGTTGTCAGGGACTTTAGTCTCCCATTAGTCAGAGTGGAGGTAGCTCATTGTGGAGTGGGGATGACATACGGGTCTCAAAAGTTGGCTAGACCTGTGATTTCATTGATACAGGGAACTCCTGGATGAGAAAACTTCCTCTGTCAGGGTAGGGCAACACCAACTCCACAGCTTCAAATCTTAGACAACTGCCCAGAACGCTGAAAAGGTACGTGACTTGTCTGAGGGCACACAGTCAGTCTGAGGGGGCACTTGAACTCGGCTCTCCCTGGCTCCAGGGCCAGCTCTCATCTACTGTGTGGATCCACTAAGTGTCATCTGCCTCTCATTCCAATATAAAAAGGGATATAAAGAACAATCACAACATAATCATCATCTTCGTCATCGTCATCACCACCACCATCACCATTATTGTCATCACTATCACCACCATCACGTCATCACCATCACCACCATCACATCACAATCATCATCACCAACACTATCACCATCACCACTACCATCACTGTCATTACCATCACCATCACCATCACCATCACTGTCATCACTATCACCACCATCACATCACCATCACCATCAGCATGATCACCATCACCATCACCACCATCACCCTCACCATCACCATCACCACCATCACCCTCACCATCACCACCATCACCCTCACCATCACCATCACCACCATCACCCTCACCACCATCACCCTCACCATCACCACCATCACCATCACCATCATCATCACCATCACCGTCATCATCATCACCACCATCACCTCCACCATCATCATTGTCATCATCATCATCCACTGAACAAGTTGAGAAAAAAGGGGATTTTCTTTGAAGTTAATTTCAAATCAAAACCGACAATGTGAACTAATAACGAGTGCACTGCACAGCAAACCAGAAGACTCGAATTCTGACACAGGCCATGGCTGTTGGATTTGTGTACATCTTTTTAAGTCGGGCTGAAATGCCGCCTTCTCTATGAATCCTCTCTGGACCTCCTGTCAGTACATAAGTAACATCCTTGAAGCTCACAAGGCATATTGTTCTCCACCTCCCAATAGCACTAATCATTGAATACCGTGCTTTGTTGTTGAGTCATTTCAGTCATGTCTGACTCTTTGTGACCTCATTTAGGGTCTTCCTGGCAAAGACATTGGAGTGGTTTGCCATTTACTTCTCACACTTATTTTATAGATGGAGAAACATAGGCAGCAAACAGAGTTAAGTGACTTGCCCAGGGTCACACAGCTAGTAAGTGTCTGAGACTGGATTTGAACTCATGAAAATGAGTCTTCTCGATTCCAAGCCCAGCGTTCTATCCACTGCTTCAGCCACTGCCCATACTGTACTTTAGAGCTTTCTAATTACATGTTTGTGTTCACATTGCTATTAGACCAAGTATTAAGAGGGCAGAGATCACAACTCACCTAATTCTCTGCTCAGCCTCTAGCATACTAGATTGCACAGAGTAAATACTCAATAATTGTTTGTTGAATGAGTCAGACCCATTACTTCTGGTGATAATAGCAAACACCTTAGGGCTTTCAGGGCATCTTATCCACAGTATCTCCTTTGAGCCTCACAACATGCCAGTGAAAGAGTTACCTTACTAATACTAATGTCCCAGTCTGTTCTGCCTGTCCTTCCATTGTGGTCTCTGAAATTCCTATTGCAAAGTTAATCTTGCTTTCATCTTACGATTTCATCTAACTCTCCTTTCTCATTCCCTCCATCTTCTGGCTCCCTCCTCATCACACAGCTTCCTTGGCCACCTCCAACAATCGTTCTACTTTAACTCAGACCCCTCCCCACCATGTAGTGGAGGAATTGGAATACTCTTTGCTCCCCACCGTCAATTCCAGACTCTCCCTTTACCATCAGACAGTGACCTCTACTTCTCTGAGATTCAGTCAATTCATGTTTATCACTCAATCAAGATTCTAGTAGCTGTTATGTACCCACCCTTAATACACTCTTTTTTCTCTCCTCTACAAATCCTGACCTCATACAAGGGGGCTTGTCATATACATACACACACACATACACACACACACACACACACACACACACACACACACACACTCCTACACTGGCCATCCTCTCCTCTCTTCCCCATCTTCACCTTTCAGTAAACCAGTCCAGTTCTCCACTGTGCTTTTCTCAAGCCCTTTATCCCATTCCCAAATTTACACTGCTGACCTTCAGCCTTGGATACACTACCCTCGTTCCCACTCATGTGCTGCTAAACAAAGCAGGTCAAAATCACGAAACCATCCTGTCTGGGTCCACTATAAACTTATGTGATGTAATTTCAAGGGGTTGCCACTGCAGTAAGGCAATCCCTTTATACCTCCCTAATCAGGCGGCTATCCCAATCATTACTGTGACTTTTCCAAACTTTTTCATCCCTCCTCAAGTCTCTCATGGTTCCCTCTACCCTCTTAGCTGAGAATTTTGCCACATATCACTGGAAAGAAAATGGCAGACATTCACTGTGAGCTCCGTCTCCTCCTCCTCATTTTATCACTCAGATGTCTCCCCCCGCTATCTCCTTCACCCCTATTTCACATGTTGAAGTGGCCTTTCTCCTTGCCAAGGCAAACATGCAAGATGAGCCTATTACATACAGCCTTCCCTAGCATACTGCCCCCTCCATAATTCACACTCTCTTACGAATCCTGGACCTCTCTCCATCTACTAGTGCTTTCTGACTTCTTACAAACATATCTGTGTGTTCACCATCCTCAACTACACCCCCCTCGATTTAGCCATCCCCCTGAGCTATCTTCCCATATCTCTCCTTCTTCGGCTAGACTCCTGGAAAAAGAGACCTCTAACTGGTGCTTCCACTTCGTCTCTTCGCTCTCATAAATCCTCTGTAATCCAGCTTCCAACCATAGCATTCTACCTCAGCTGTTCTCTCCAAAGTTGCTAACGATCTAGCTGCCAAGTCAAACAGCCTTTTCTCCAGGCCTCTCCTTCATGACCTTTGTGCAGCCTTCAGTCACCCTCTTCTCCTTCTTCTTCTTGGTGCTGTCGTAGGGTTTCTTGGCGGTTCCCTCCTGATTCTCCTCCTATCTGTCTGACTGTTCTTTATCCATCCCTTCTTCTGGATCTTCATCCTGATCATGCCTAATAACCAAGGATATTCCCCCAAGGCCCTCTTGGGTGGTATTCTCTTCTCTCTATATACTACTTCACTTGTGATCACATCAGCTCCCATGGATTTAACAATCATGTCTATGCAGTGGATTCTCAGATCTACTTATCCATGGCTAACCTTTCCCCAACATCCACTCTCAAATCTCCATCAGATGTCTGTTGGACCATCTAAGAGTGGACGTTTCACAGGAATCTCTTGGACACGTCTAAAACAGAATCCATTTTTCACCAAAAAAACCTCCCCTCTTCCTATCTTCCCTATTACTATCATGGGTACTACTTCCCATTCACTTATCTGGCAACTCAAGCGCTACCATCTTATCATCTGTTGTCATCCCCAATAGTCAATCAGTTTCCAAGTCCTGCAGTTTCTACCTTCATGATATCTCTTGACTCTGCTCCCTTCTCTCCTCTGACACAGAAGATGTCTAAGTCCAGGCCCTCATTACCACCTGCCTGAACTATTGCAGTAGCCTTCAGGTTGGTCTCTATGCCTTGTCTCTCTCCTCTCTGGCCTGTCCTCTACTCAGATAGGAAAATGATCTTCATAAAGTTCAAGTCTGCCCATATCACGATACCTCCCTTCCCCCCCAGCACCAAATGGATCATTGTCTGTTTGTTTGGCTTTAAAGTCCCTTCAGAAGCTAGCCCTCTCCTGCCTTTCTAGGCTTTTTGTCCCCTTTACACACTCTGGGATCTATTTATGACATAAAACATTCCATCTCCTAACTCCAAGTATTTTCAGTGACTGGGCCCCATTCCTGAAAGTTCTCCCACCTCATTTTCCTAGGTTCCTTCAAGTCTCAACTAAACCCCACCTTCTGCAAGATGTCTCTCCTGGTCCCCCTTAAGGCTAGTATCTTCCTTCTCAGATTACTTCCAGTATCTCCTGTAGATACCTTGTTTGTAAATAATTGTTTCCATGTTATCTCCCCCTTTGGAATGTGAGCTCCTTGATGATATGGACTCTGTTTGCCTTTCTTTGTATCCCCAGTCATTGGCACAGTGCCCGGCATAGAGGAGATGTTTAATAAATGCTTGTTGACATGATTTCCTAAAATGTGGTGCCCAGAACAAAGTCCAGCAATGTTCAGACCAAGGAAGAGGACAGCAGGAAGCTCATTCTTTGGTGTTCTAGACACCGTACCTCTCCTAATGCAATTTAACTGTGTGAATGCTCCCTTCTAGCTCTAACAATGTTATGCTCCAAAGGGTCAGCTATCGAGCAAATAATAAAAACATGAGTAAAATCGAAAAGCAGTGAGGCTTAGTGGGTAGAGAGCTGACTTTGCAGTCAGGAAAGAGGCCTGTGTTCAAGTCACACCTCTGACTCTTATTGGCTGTGTGATCCTAGGGATACCACTTGAGTTCTCACGCTCTAGGCAACTCTCAAGACTAGAGCTTGAACAGAAAGTGTGACCTGCTTAGGGGAATTGGCTTTCCTCATCTGAGAGTCCCCTATTCTGATGAAATCAAAGATCTTGTCTAGATTCCTAAAATAAAACTAAAATCATATTTGTGTGATTTAAGTCCTCAATGCCACCTAGAGAAATTTTGAGTCTTTACTGTTTTCCAATGACATGATGAGGAAAGACAAAAGCTTTTCAATGTCAGTTTCATCCTGCTATCGAAACAACTACCCTCGATGATTTATCTACCCAACAAAAAACATTTATTTCCCTCGGGTCTGGACTTGATATTCTATTCCAACATCACTCCCTCTGTGAAGATTTTCATTTCAAGAGTAGTAATATTGACATCATAACTAAGCAATATGCATTGCAACTTTTCATACTGGGAGAGCAAATTAGCCCCAGTGTTCAGCTCATTCCTAACCCTGGTTAGGTGGTAGCTGAGGGCTTTTGACTTCACACTCACTCCATTCTATAGGTCCTTAAAAATTGCATACCTACAGATATGATAATAGACATTGGAAAAAACTAAGAACTTTTAGTTATCAAAAAAATTACATCAATCTAAATATCTCCCTTGGATTAGATTCTTTATTAATACTCGTTTTAAAAAGAGAAGAATCACTTTCATGTAACATATTCAGATAAACGAGGGACAATTGAACAGTTGATACAGAGTAAATGGGGACAGCTAGATGGCACAGTGGATACAGTGCTTGGTCTGGCATCAGGAAGACTCATCTTCCTGAGTTCAAATCCAGCCTCAGACACTGACTAGCTGTGTGACCCTAGGCAAGTCACTTAACCCAGTTTGCCTCAGTTTCCTTACCTGTAAAATGAGCTGGAGAAGGAAATAGCAAATCACTCCAACACCTCTGCCAAGAAAACCCCAAATTATCTGACAAAAAGTCAGATAATACTGAAATAATTAAATAAAAGAACAAACACTGCTCTTAGCCCTTCCTGATAGTCGAATTTGGAATCCTTGAGATCCATGTAGTGGCAGAGGGATGGAGGACAGAGTCCTAGCCACGGAGTCAGGAAAGCCTAGGCTCATATTGTCTGCCTCTGCCAATTAAACCTTGTGTGACCAGTCACTTCTCCTCACTGGGCCTCAGTTTCTTCATCCGTAAAAGGAAGGTGGTTGGACTAGTCATTCTCTAAGGTTCCTTTCAGCGCTAAAGCTATGATCCTGTGATATTCGGAGTTGCCCTCCCATTGGGCCGCGAGGTAGCACAGTTGATAGAGCACTGAGCCTGGAGTCAGAGGACTTGGGTTTGAATCTCAGCTCGGCCAAACCAAGACCTTCTCCCTCAATGGGTCTCAGTTGTTCTAATCTGTAAAATAAGCATTAAGAATCCTGCCCACCTCATGAGGTTGGTTTGGGACTCAAATGGAAGGGCGGCTGTGACCAAGCTCCAGTGTCCCACAGAGATGGCATCTCAGAAGGGCAGCACTGAACCTGTCTTTGCCCCTGGTGAGGCAGTGTGCCACAGCGGAAAGAGGACTAGAGTTGGAACCAGAGGCTCAGCTCCTCACTCTTCCAGTGGCCTTGGCAAATCACTTCATTTACTGGGCCTCAGTTTCCGCCTCTGTAAATAAGGGATCAGAACCTAATGATCTCTAAAGCCCCTTCCAGCTCTAAGTCCTATGACCCTCAAGGATGAACTGAGGCTCACCTCTCTGGCCCGTCTATCATAAGGACTGACTGAGGTCACACAAGAATTCCATTAGTGATGTGTTAGTAGTGTTAGTACTGAAGGTGCAATGGCTAAAGGCTAGACTTTGGCCAAGTCATTTAACCTCTGCATACCTCAGTGGGCGGTCATACCTCCTCAGTCACAGAGGGTCCGCTATCTGCACCAGTAGAAGGGGTTCCCATGGAGGGAGTGCCCCTTGATGACAAAATCATCAGCTCTTCAAATATTCTAAGTCCTAGCAATGAAACCCTGAGGAAGCCCAAGCAGACCACCCAGAGATGAGATGAGTGAGCCCCGCCATTTGCAGGCTCACCTCTAGAGTCACCATCTGCTTGGCCATGGCTCTCTCCACTGCTTCATACATCTGGGTGTTCTGGATTCCCAATCCACAAAAGATGACAAAAGCTTCCAGAAACTGCTCATCATTTCTGTTGAAAGGTTTGAATTTGCTGGAATTCTCTTCCATCTTATTAACAAGCTGGCAAACCCCTACAAAAGTTAGAGAAATCGGGTGAATGTTACTGTTAATATTAAGTTGGTTAATATGAGGCAGCATTGAATAATGGAGGGGGTGTTAGATTTGGCTTCAGGAAGATGGAGGTTCAAACCCTGCCTTGGAAACTTCTTAGCTGCATGATGATGGGCAAGTCACTTAACCTTTCTGAGCTTCATGAAACTCTCAAAGATGATGGGTTACAGATGGGCTGCAATCTGAGCAGGTGGAGGGAGGGTTTGGGAAATTCAGTTTTATTTGATTTTCAATTTTGAATTGTCTCCTTCCCACATTCCCTCCACTCCCCATTGAGAAGGCAAGAAAAACAAAACCAATCACAAGTGTATATAGTCAAATAAAACAAATGACTGCAAGAGAATAAGACAGAGAGAGACAGAGACAGAGAAGAGAGACAGAAACATAGAAGGGGGAAGAGAAGAGAAGAGAGAAGAAGGAGGGAAAGAAGGAAGAGAGGAGAGAGAAGGGAATAGGGAGGAGAGGAGAAGAGAGAAAAGATGCCTCGATCCGCAGTCTGAGTCTTCCACCTCTCTGTCTAGCAGGGGATAGCATGTTTCACCATGAGATCTTTGAAACTGTGGCTGGTCATTGTGTGGAACAGAATTCATAAGTCTTTCAAAGTTGTCTGTCTTTACAATATTGCTGTTACTGTACAAATTGTTCTCTTGGCTCTATTCACTTCTCTCTGCATCAGCTCATACAAATCTTCCCAGGTTTCTTTGAAGCCATCTCCTTCATCATTTCCTACAGTACGATAGGATTCCATTACATTCATATGCCATTCCCCAGTTCAGCCATCCCACAATTGATGGGCACCCTTTGGTTTCCAATTCTTCGCCACCACAAAAGGAACTGCTATAAATATTTTTGTACACATGGGTCTGTTTCCTCTTTCTTTGATAAATGGAGGTAGTTTTCACCCGGGGAGTTCAAACACAGCCCAAGTCAGGCCCCTGATGCTCTAAACCAGGCTGTTAACTATTGTCGTTATCAGGAAGGCCTACATTTTTGCCTTATAAGGACTTGAAGTCTCTTAACGAGCAACTAAAGGACTCAGGGTTATATTATAAAAAAATAAACAGACTCACAGCATAAAATTTAGAACATAACTACTTTCACCTAGCCCAAAGTCACTGCTGTCTGATTCTTTGCAAAATCCTAGAGTATACTTTTCTCCTTGATGTAGAAATGAATTCTAGACCACTAGTCCCCAAAGATAATTTGTTCTTTCAAGGCTAATTAAATTTTTGTCTATTTTCCAAGAGAACATTTCTGAAGCATGTCAGAAGAGGGGGACATGAAGTTCGCCTTTCCCTACTTAGAGCTTATGTTAAACAGAAAATCACACACACAATAGGCCAGTGTGGCATTTTTTATGCAGCCAACCTCACCATTCAAAGCTAGACTTCAGAGTGCCACAGAAACATGCCAAGCATACACGATCTCTGCTGTTACCAATGTGTAACACTGAAGACAGGGCAGCTAGGTGGTGCAGCGGACAGAGTGCTGGGCCTGGGGTCAGAAAGACTCATTTTCTGGAGTTCAAATCTGGCCTCAAACACTTACTAGCTGTTGTAACCCTGGGCAAGTCACTTAACCCTGTTTGCCTCAGTTTCCTCATGTATAAAATACATGACTGAACAACCACAAACACTGAAGATAGTTTAAGTGACAGCTTTAGTCCAGAAAGAAGGCCACAGGGCAAACACAGCTCATGCAAAGAGAGAAGAATGCGTACCCATCCCTGGTTAAAATTTCCCAGGATTAGGGGCTGTACAGTAGCCCAGGATAATGGAGAGATAATTCTCTCTTCTGAGAGAATTTCCTTATCTATGAAAAAAGAATGTAAGACTCCAAGGGTCTCAAATACAGGCCATCAAAGTCCTCTGGGCCTCTGTCGGCATCTTCATGATAACTATTGTCCACCACCATCTTTCTCCCATGAGCCAGAAGGTCAGAGCTGGAGGGGACTTACAAGTCATCGAGGCCAGCTGGTACCTGAACACATCTCCCTTCTATTCGGTCCCCATAAAGGGTCAACCAGCTTTTACTTGAATTCCTTTCACATAGTCTATTCCACTCTTTCAGGCAATCTTCCTTTTTTTTTCTGTAAGGGAAACCGATGGACCCCCTTCACAGCAGATGTAAATATACAGGATAACAAAGGAAACCAAGCGTGTTGAATACATTGAAACAGAATGTAATGCTGCAATATTTCATGAATATCCCCTTTCTCTATAACTGTCTTGAAACTTAAGATGCCAAACCTGAAAGCTATTGATTAGTGAAAACCATTCAGTGTTTGGTCAGTAAAAAAAATTGAGGACTTGTTCATTTCTACCTTTTATTCCTTATTTTAAGTTGCTAGCAGGGAGAGGGAAGGTTGAAAAGATGGGAGGGAGGGAGAAAATAAGAATTTATATAGTGCCTAATATATGCCTAATATATGCTAAGTGGATAGAACACCAAAGTTAGAGGTAAGGGACTCGAGTTCCAAGTCTTCTTATTTACTATCTCTGTTGGGTGGCTGGGGGTGCCATAGTGCATAGAGCGCCACGCTGGAAGTTAAGAAGACATCTTCTTGAGTTCAAATCTGGCCTCAGACACTTATTAGCTGTGTGACCCTGAGCAAGTCATTTCACTCTGTTTGCCTCAGTTTCCTCATCTGTAAAACGAGCTGGAGAAGGAAATGGCAAACCATTCCAGTATCTTTGCCAAGAAAACCCCAAATGGGGTTATGAACAACCAGACACAACTGAAAAAAATGACTAACCCAAATCCCTGTCATTTTGAAAATGTCATTTAATCTCTGTGGACCTCAGATTCCTCATCTGTGAAATAAGTAGGGTGGACTAGAGAATTTCTCAGCATCTTTCCAGCTCTAAAATTCAACAATTCAATGTTATCACGAGGAATGAAATGTGATTCAGGAATTCAGCATTCTTTAACCTAGCAGCTCCAGTAGAATTGGGCTATCCAGCCCTCTTCCCGAGGGGCCATGCAGTGGCTCAAATGCCTCACGTGACACCTTAGAGGAGTGCCCATCTTCCTCATAAAGCCCCTCTAATAAAGTTTGCTCACATGTGTACTGAACTCAGCAGGTTGAGCTATATCACATAAGAGGAGCTGAAAAATCATAGAACCATCATTTTTCTGGGTTGAACATTTAGAGAGGTCCAGAGCTTCAAAGTCACCACCAGATACGACATTTCTGCTCTTTTTTTTCCTGAGAAGTCTTTTTCCGCTCATTGTAAGAGTGCTCAGAGCCTCCTCTGATGAATGTGATGATTCAGGGTCAGATGGGCAGAGAGATTTTCCAGGGCCAAGGGGATTCAGTTCTGTGGAATCTTCCATTTTAAAACAATAATAACAATAATTTGTTGTTAAAATATTCAGTTGCCTTGGGTCACCTCCAGCTCCAGAATTTTTGTGATATCATTTGGCTTTTTTTCACCTTTAATTGCAATGAGGTCAGTTCCTTCTCCTGTTGCATAATTTTATAGAAGGAATCAATCCATTGGGTATTCATGCACATTAGCCCATTATAGGAAATAAACAGAATGTGAATCTGATCAGTGCTGAGAGGAAATTATAGCACAGTTTTTAAAGAGCTGGGCCTTTAGTCTCCCAAGAAGAGACATGGTATTCACTAAGAAATACTAGAAGTAAGAATATTTCATTTTCCCTTAGGTCCACCGGTCAAGGATGAAACCAGAAGCAATGGGGCTTTTAGAGAGGAAGGTGTCAGCTCAGGGTAAAGAGAAAGCTTCCTAACAATTAGGAAAAAACTTCCTAATGTTGTGAAGCCGGATAGAATCAGCTGGAGGGAATCAGGATGGTGAGTGGCCCTAATTTTTTACCATGGGAGAATCAGGTGAAGGAAAGGGTTGTTTAACTAGGTGAAGAGAATTCTTTTCAAGTAACTAAAGAGTAGTGCTACGTGGAAGAGAGATTAGCCTTGTTCTGCTTGGCTTCCGAAGGCAGAACCAGAACCAATGGGTGGAAGTTACAATTGAAAAACCTTCCAAACTAACAGAGCTGTCCTTGAGTGCAACGGCTTTCCTTAAGAGACCGTGGATTCTCTACCCTTGGAGGTTAGCAAGGCGTCATGTGGAATTGACATTTAATAAGTGATGGCAGACGCTGCCATGGCCCATGGGGTCACCAAGAGCTGGACACGACTGAACCAAGCCATCAGAAGTAGGCAATTAACGTTTGTATGAGATAAGAATGTATAAAGTGGAATGCAAACATTCCTGAAGCATAACGGAAAAACAGGGCCAAGAACCCAGCCCTAACCCAGAACTGAGAAATGGCAGCCAGTTCATAAGCTTGCTGTGCTCTGCTCTGGAGGAGGCAGCAAAGGGTCATGTCAAAGAGCATGAGATTCAGAGTCAGAGGACTTTGGTTCAATTAATATCTGGCTCTGCCATCTACTGTGTGTCCTTAGCCAAGCTGCCTCCCCTGTCGGGGCCTCAGTCGCATGGGGCGATGTGACCTCTTGCTTCATCTAGCCTCGCTCTAAATCTTCTGTTGCCATTGACCTGCTCCTCAGTTTAACTAAATTCCAGGTACAGCACTCAACTGCAAACTGGATTTATTCCCTACCAGTGAGCTACAGGCACAGCTAATTAAAGGGGCTGTGCTCTCAGGTATTAACGGTGGGGGGGGGGGTTGCGGCACCGGATTTTTGGGCCAGGCATCTCAGGAGGGAGCAAATGAGGACTAGAAAAAGGTGGCTTCTTTAGTGAATGGTCCTCCATCATGGAAGCCAGCCAATTATCACGATTTTCTTTCATCTTCAGATTTTGTAACTACAACATAGGGAAGGGTAGCATTTGGGAAACAGAGGAAAGAAGCGAAGGGAGCAGGGAAAGCAGAGGAGAAGTGAATGTGAAATAGGGCAGAGATTTCATGCAGCACTCAGCATCTCAGCACCTAGCATAGTGCATACAGCAGGCACCTAATAAATGCTGATGGACTGGTCGATACAAGGGGAAGGTCAATTACAATTCCACTCAGGTGGAGCACTAATGAACCAACACCTGAGAACATGACCCAGCTAGCCTGATGGACGCCTTCACTGTCATTCCATAGAGTGCTGGGCCTCGAGTCAGGAAGATCTGTGATCAAATCTAGCCTCAGACACTTATTAACCGTGGGACCCACTTCACCTCTGTTTGCCTCAATTTCCTCAACTGTAAAATGGGAATAATAATAACAACTACCTCCCCGGGTCATTATGAGGATAAAATGTGATAATATTTATAAAGCACTTTGTAAGTCTTAAAGCTTTATATAAACGCCAGATTGATGTTGTTGTTATATGTGTCAGGAGTGAAAAGAACCAGGGGAAGAGAGAGAAGTACAGAAAACCCTGGTCACCCAGTCTTTCTGCCAGCAATTCCATGGAGACCCCGTGTTAGAATTCTACGCTAATGCCCACTTGGCACATGCCAAGAGGTATCAACAAGCAATGGGCAAAATGCTGGATGTGGAATTAGGAAGATGTTTGTTTGACTCCCACCTCTGACATTTACTGTGTAGAAATGCAAAAGGGACTTAAGCTGAAGCAGGTATTATTTATTCACTAATTTGCAAGGGTTTCTCTCTCTGGGGCTATATTCTTTCATGTAAGAGGCTTCCCTAAGTGAATTGGCATGGTATTCATATGGAATGAATGCCTTTAAAAATAATCCCAAACTTTCTTCTGGAAGACTGCCAACTAGCAAATTAGAAGTATTAGTTCATATTCAGGGCAGCTAGATGGCACAGTAGATAGAGTGCTGGGCCTGGGGTCAGGAAGACTCATCTTCCTCAGTTCAAATCTGGTCTCAGACACTCACTATTTGCGTAACCCTGGGCAAGTCACTTAACCCTGTTTGCCTCAGTTTCCTCATTGAGCTGGAGAAGGAAATGGCAAATCACTCCAGCATCCTTGCCAAGAAAACACCCAATGGGGTCACAAAGAATCAGACATGACTGAAAGTACTGAGCAACAAAGTTTACATTCAAAGGACATTTTCATACTGCATTTTTTTCCTTAAAAGAAGATTAAAAATCCCTAGTAACTTAATTCATGAAAGCACATGAGGGCTGGAGAGGTAGTACAGTTGCAGTAGAGGGCTGGCTTTGTAATCAGGAACTTGAGTTGAGGTCCTTCCTCTGACAAGTACTGAGGGTATGATCCGGGATAAGTCACTTGACTTCCAGGTGCTCCAGCTAAGCCTAACATTAGAAACAGTGCTGACCCGCAGAGGCAAGTGGAGGGTCCTCACCAGGGAAACTCTAGGTCTCGTGCCCTATCTCTCTCTCCACATGAAGACTGTGCCATGAGGCTAATACACCCTTTAACTCCCTATTTTCACTGACTCTGAGTCTCTTTGCTTAAAAAAAAAAAAAGGCTTACAGAGAAGATGCCCATCAGTGTTCATAGAGGGCATTTATTCACGTAGGAGAGTTCCCCATACCAATGGAAAACGCCTGTGAAAGACAGCATGACATCCTTCAGATGCTGGAAGCACAGGAGTGAGTCTGTAGGAGACCCAACACATAGAATCATTGGTTTAGAACTAGAAGCAACATCTAGTCCTACTCACTTTATAGAAGAGGAAACTGAGGCACAGAGAGTCTTAGGGACTTTCCAGTGTTACATAACTCACACCGGACTTGGTTTCCCTACTTGTTAAGTGGGGTTTGGCTATGCTCATAATAGACAGGAGCTCTAGGCAGAACTTCTCTATCTGGTCCCAGAGGGCAAGAACTCAGAGAAATCAGTAGAAGTTACAAAGAAAGTGCTGACAAAATTACTGTGGAAGAGAAAAAACAAGTGTTCTAGGCCGGTCATGAAATCTCTGTCTCTCTCTCTTTCTCTGTGTGATGCTCAGTCTGCCTCTGAAAAGGTTTCATCACAAAAGAACTAATCCACAACCCACCTATACCTCAGTAGGTGTCTTTTCAATTGTTTATACATTTTAAAATATATTTTCTTTTTATATGACCTTCATTTCTGCATTTATTCCTACCCAGTGAACCATCACTCATAACCCAAAATAAGCAAAGAAAACAAAAAGAATTCAGCAATTCTGGGAGGGATATGGATCCTGGGGCAGAGTCTGAGTTCTGGGGTGGGCAGGAGAGGAAAGCCAGAGTGCAGCAGCACTGTCTGGAAACCTCTTAGCCTCCAAGCTTGGCTCTGAAGAAGAGACAGGAAAATGCGTCTCCCTCGGTTCTCGATGGAGGCTGGCAGACTGTGGGTGTAGAAGACTGGATCACTGACAGACTCAGTGACTGGGCCAGTTACTTCTGTGGAATTCTTTTTTTTTTCCTCTTCTTATTTTGGGTTATATGAGATGGCTCACTGGGTAGGGATAAGTACAGAAATAAGATTATGTGAAAAGAACCAGGTTACTACCTGACTTTCCAGCCATTTCTGCCTCTATCCCTCCCTCCCTCCCTCTCTCTCTCTCTCTCTCTGTCTCTCTGTCTCTGTCTCTCTTTCTGTCTGTCTCTGTATATCTGTCTGTCTCTGTCTGTCTGTCTGTCTCTCTCTCTCTCCCCACCCCAACTCTAGGTCCCCTTTCTTTCTCTATTAGAATGTAAGCTCCCTGAGGGCAGAGACTGTCTTATTTGTTTGTTTGTTTGTTTATTTTTACATAGTAAGCACCTAAATGCTTATTCATTCATGGGAGTAGGGATGTGAACTTGGATTTTTGGACTCTATGCCCCATGCTGTATTCACTGTGCAGCACTGCTTGGAACGTCACAGACACTAAACACAGGCATTCCTTCCACACCAGCTCTGGTGGGATGCGCGAAGATGCAGGGAAGCAACTTTTCCTGGCACCAGCACCTCACTAGTTCAAGGAGCCACATGAGATTTGGGAGACGGGATTACTCTTCCTCCCACAAGCCAACCCCGATGGACGTGGCTGAAAAGCTCCCTGCTGGGAGGCCAGCGTGGTGAGGAGGGAAGGTCTCTGAAGTTGGCTGAGCTCGTTCTCAGCCAGGCACCCAGATGGGGGTCCCGGGCCTGACTTGGGAGGATCTGCTGGGGTCACTACTCGGCCTGATCGACGGGGGAGTCGGTGGAGTCTGACATGGACCAGAACAAACAAGATTTGGGGATTTATGCTGTCAGGGAAGGACCAAAAGTGAGAACAAAAGCCATTACCTATCACTTTGTTCTTCTTTCCATTTTTTATAGGTGTGCAAAGCAAACTTCTAATGGGCTGGTGAGAGCTGTCTGTGTTTTCACTCTATTGAAAAAACACACATACACATACACATACACAGACAAGATGGCAACAGACCAGAGAAATCAAGTCAATAATTAGTGTCTGTAAAAGTGACTACGTCCCCCAACATTTTCCTCTTTTATCACCTAGGGCTCCCATCAGAACATAATGTACAAATGACTGAACAGCCCACTGACAAATACGTACTGAGAAATCATATCACACTGAGCTTCTATAGCAGAATGAATATCTGCTGGTCCATTTCATTGTTGCATTTTAAACCAGTTCTGAGTAATTGATTGTTAATAGCACCTACCTATGTGCACTATTTACTGGCTGAGCCCCATGAGCAGTGCTTGGAGACATTATAACCCTGCCAGAGAGAGAAAGAATCCCAGGGAGGCCTGCATTCCATTATCCGGCTGCACCACAGGGGTAGTTTAAGGTTTCTTTAACATTCACCTGGTTTGCAGATGACATAGCTGACCTAGACCACTGTGGTTGCCCTGGCTTGATAAAGCAGCAGTCAGCCCACTTCTGTTCTCAATGGAACAAATATTCGTGGCTCCTAGGTGATGGACAGTGGGAGTCCCCATGCTCTACTGGGGCTGTATTCTTGCTGTGGGGTCTAATAACACATGTAATGAACTCAGTCTTTAAAGGCAGTCAAGGCACACACAAATATACCAAAAGCAGGATTGTTGGCGTGGGGCCAAGGTGAGAAGAATATCGAACAAATGATTCTGTGAATTACAGTTTGAGGCCTGGTGTGGAAATCTGGATAGGGGCAGCTAGCAGACAGGGCACTGGGCCTAGAGCCAGGAAGACCTGAGTTCAAGTCCAGCTTCAGACAATTACCAGCTGTGTGATCACAGGCAAGCCACTTCACCTCTGTCTGGCTCAGTTTCCTCAAGCTGCATAGAATGCAACAACAGGGATAACAATAAGCACCTAACTCACAGGGCTGTTGTAATGGTCAATTGTAAAAGGCTTAGCACAGTACCTGGTAGGTGCTTAATAAATGCTTATTTCCTTCCGTCTTCTGGATGTTTTTCTCATATTCGCCCTTATTTCTATTTCCTTTAATGCCAAAAGCTAAACTAAGGTGAGATTTCTGCCCTACTGGCACTGGACACACTTTAAAAAAGTACAAATCCTAGGGCTGGAGGATACCATAAAATCAGCTGACACGTTCTAGGCAGGGAAGCATTACCCTCCTTGCTCGGGGCAGGGAATCCGCTGACCACATGCCTCACCTTAGAATCTTTCTGTGGTAGCCAGTTCAATACAACAATAAGCACAGAAATATGGGCTATGTAGGACACAATCTCACTTCACATCAAGACTAAATTCCATTTACTTACTGTCCAGGGAAATCTCTTGTCCTTATAGACGTCGGGGATATTAAGAGGTTCCATGGTGTCTCTGACATAGCGAGCATACATGTAATTGATTTTATTCATGTCTCCATCCCTACTAAGAGACAAAAATTGTTCTTTACCATGATAACATGTTGGAAAGATAAAATTAAACCACTGTCAGTCAAAGGTTAACAAGCATATGAAAGAATGCTCCAAGACAATAATAATAATAATAATAATAATAATAATAATAATAATAATAGAAATATACATTAAAACAACCCTGAGCTCTCCCCTCACACCTAGCAAATGGACCAAGATGACAAAGAATGGAAATAATCAATGCTGGAGGGGTTGTGGAAAGGTGGGCACCCTGAGGCACCATATGGGAAGCTGTAAGTTGGTCTAACCATTCTAGAAAACTGAATGACTAAAATGTCTAGATTCTCTGACTCAGTGAAACTTCTTCAAGGAATATACCTCAAGGTCAGGGATCTAAAGAAAAGCCTCATTCTTTGACATTTCTGCTGTATTTAACCCTGTTGACCACCCTCCTAGATATTCTCTCTGGGTTTTTGTGAAGCTAATCTCTTCTGGTTCACCTACTACCTGTCGGACATCTCCTTATCAGTCAGCCTCCTCTACTGGTTCATCATCCCACATGCCCCATAAATGTGGGTCTACACTATGTCTTGATAACTTGGTCAGCTCATACGGGTTTAGCAATCATCTCTACGCAAAAAGATTGAAATATCCAGCCCCGAGTCTTCCTTTTGAACTTTGGCTTGGTATCACCAATTGCCCATTTGACATTTCAAACTGGATGTCCCCGAGGCATTTAAACTCAATCCATCTAAAATGGAACTCATTATCTTGCCTCACAAACCCTCCCCTTTTGTGACCTCCCTTATTTCTGTCCATACCACTCTTATACTCCCAATTCCCCAAGTTCCTAACTTCATTATTACCCCACTCTCCCTCGCCCCACATACCCTACCTGTTGCCAAACCCAGCTTTTTCTATATTCCCAAGAAATATCTCTCCAACATCTGCCTGCTTCTCTCCATTCACACAACTGTCATTGTAGTTTGGGCCTCGTTGCTTTTTGCCTAGATTATTGCAGTGGTCTCCTAATGGGTCTCCCTGCCTCCAGTCTATCACCACTCTAGTCCAACTTCCACACAGCAATTTTCCTTCAGTGAAGATCTCACCATGTGACTCCCCTACTCATTAAGTTTCAATAGCTTCTTATTGCCCCTAGGATAAAACATAAAGTCTTCTGTTTAGCTTGTAAAGTCCTTTGTAACTTGGACCCAATCTCCATGGACATTATCCTCCATCCTACACTATGTGACCTAGCCATATGGGCCTTCTCTCTGTTTCTCATACATCACACTCACCTCCATTTCCATGCCTTTGTACCAGCTATCCCATGTGTCTAGAATGAATTCCCTCTTGACTTCTGCCTCACAAAGTCCTTTTCTTCCTTGAAGAGGCAGCTAAGGTATCTGCTCCTACAGGAATCCTTTCCTGATCCCCACCCTCCCAAGGTTCCATGTATTTAACTACTTTGAATATATTTGTATTGATTCACTTTATACTTCTGCTGCATATGCATACATATATGATACATTATCCATCTATCTATCTAATTCTTTTTCTGCCATTAGAATGTAAGTTACTTGGGAGAGGGGATGGTTTCATTCTTTGTCCTTGTATCCCTTGCACCCCTGGGGTCTCTCGGCATATAGTAGGTACGTAAATCACTACTTGTTGGTTGATTGGCACAGACCAATCTACCTCAAGCAGCACTTTTGTGGTAGCAAGGAACTGCACACAAAATTGACACCCCCAGATTGGGGAATAGCTAAAGAAACTGCATTACACAAAAGTAACAGATTACAACTGGGACGTAAGAAATAATGAAGAGGAAGCATGGGAAGCTTTATATGAACTGATGCAAAATGCAGTAAGCACACCCAGGGAAACAACATATGTAATGACAACAATGTAAATGGAAATATTAAAAAACAACAACAACTAAGCAACCCAAATCAAATTATAATGAATAAACTTGGCCCTAAAGAAGAGATATGAGAAGCAGTTGTCCACTCCCCAGCCATTTTGCACAGGGTGTGGAAAACCATCTCTAATGGCAGATTTGTTCAATTACGTGATTTTGTTGAACTGTATTTTTTCTTTTTTTTTTTTTGTTCTTTGTTATAGATGACGGCTCCCTAGGATGGGGCAGAGAAAGGGGTATATTGGGAAATATATTGGGAAGACAAAAAATACTAATAAAAACGTATTTTAAGAAATTAAACCATTGTCTTGGCCCTGGAAAAGTCATATCTCAGTGAGTTGGTAGACTGTGTACACACTCAGAATAACCACACTCTTAAAGATGTCTTACAAATTTGGCAAAATACCGTATCTTATGTGTCCTGGTAAAGTCAAAAATATCTTAAAATATCATGAATAATTTCACAATCACAATTATAGGCTAGTTCAGGATCACAGATTTAGAGCAGGAAGGAACTTTAGAGGCCATGTAATCCAGCTCCTGCATTTTATAGGTGAGGAAACTGAGGCCCAGAGAGGTTAAGAGATTGCCCAAGGGCACTTAGAAAATAAGTGGCAGAGCCAGGATCTGAAGCCAGGCCCTCTGGGTACAGAATGCTGGAGAGGATCCTGCGTTCTTCCCACGGGTGCCCAGTTTCCTCCCATTCCTTTTCACACACACACAACCTTTGTGGACGGCTTTCCTTTTCCTGTACTGATTGGTGTGCTAGAAGAGGCGCTAGCTTTGGAGTCAGAGCACCTGGGCTCATAGGATCATAAGCCCTAGATTCAGAGCTGGGAGGGTCCTTAGATCAGCAGTATGTGACCCGAGAATTGCCAGAAAAACCCTTAGGGGCCATGATTCTAGGCCCTTTCTTTTATAGTTGAAGGAAATAGGGCCTGGAAGCTAAGGGGGATGGGAACTCACTCTGGTCTGGTGTTCTAGGTACTATTCTATTGTGTGATCCACTGGTGTGATCTTGGACCACCTAGTTCCTCTGGGCCTCAGTTTCCTCAACTGTAAAATGAGAGGGTTGGAGTAGATGATCCCTAAGGTCCCTTCTTGTTCTGGACTTAACATTTCCTGCCTGTTCTTTAATCAGATACAAGAATGACCAAGCGCCATCCCTCAGATCATGTGCTCAAATTGCTTTGCTTGATTCTCTGAATTCTGAAAACAGAAATCAGTGTCCTGCTTAAAGGCTGGCGAAAAGCCAGAGAGCAGAGCTGGAAGCGCTTCAACCAGCACTGAAGCTCTTCCCTTCTCCAGTAAGGTCTACTTGTCCCCCTTTACTTCCTGGGCTCTCTTTTTCTCTCTCTGACTTCCGATTTTTGTCTCTACTTTTGGGGCAGCTAGGTGGCTCAGGGGATAGAGCGTCAGGCCTGGAGTTAAGAAGACCTGGATTCCAAATCTAGCCCCAGACATTACTAGCTATGTGACCCTAGGCAAGTCTCTTCACCCTCTTTGACTCAGTTTCCTCATCTGTAAAATGAAGTGAAGAAGGAGATGGCCAATCTCTGCCAAGAAAACCCCAAGCGGCAACACAAAAAGTCAGACACAACTGAACAACAATGGGGATGTATTGCTTTGAAATTTTTTAAAATTAATTTAGCTTTCATCATAATCTTAGCTTAAAAAATCTTTAACGTCTCAATCTTTTTCATTGCTTTATGATTAATCTGCTGTCAGCAAATTCTTTATCCCATAATCTGATGTCAGCCAACTCTTAAGCATTGGGGCTTTAGCCTAAAGGGGAATAGAATGGGATACAGGCCTTCTGGACAGAAAGATCCAATGTTGCCTGGTGATGGCCAGGGTTGACGTGAGGGGAGGGACTGGCCCAGATCTGGATCTGCTCGTGGAAAGTTACTCAGACTTTACAAACATGACCAGGAAAGAGAAGGGACAGCTGTGATGGTTAAACCTTGGGAAATGCTGACTCTCGAGGCATGAGAATGAGTGGTAGGGAAATTTAAAAGTAAATAAATATATTTCCACATACACATAGCTGGCCAACAACTTGCAATACTCAATCTGCTTCTACCTCTGTTTCCGAACTCTGGCCGGGGGTCATTTGTGTTTCTTCCCCTCTGTTCTCCCTGGATCTTTCAATGGACACATGTTTGCCTAAGTGTGCTTGAGTTCATCAAGAATCTATTATGTGGGGGCAGCTAGGTGGCACAGTAGATAGAGAACAGGCCATGGAGTCAGGAGGACCTGAGTTCAAATCCCACCCCAGACACATAACGCTTACTAGCTGTGTGACCCTGGGCAAGTCACTTAACCCCACTGCTCATCCAAAAACCAAAGCAAACAAAAAAAGAATCAGTATATGCCCAGTATGATAAGATAGTGAGACAGCATGATGAATTACATAAGAAAAGATGAACTACATATCTTACTATTCAGATATCATGAGGTAATGTGGTATCATGGTAAGAATACTGGATTAGAAGTCGAGAAACCTGGTCTCTAGTCATTATTCGGACAATTTGCAGCAAGTGAGTTTGGGCTGCAAACTCATTCACAGTCTGAACCATGGTTTATTCACCTGTAAAATGGGGGTAAGATCTACTTGGACTCTTTCCTGGGGTTGTGGTGAGGATGAAGTAACATAATTCATGGAATTAGAGAGCAGAAACAAAACCCAGAGATCAACTGGTACAACCCTTGAGCTGAAATCTCTTCCATAGGGCCACTGACAAGAAGTAACCTAGCATTCTCATGAAGACCACCAGCCATGGTGAACTCACTACCTGAACAAAGCCAGTCCATTACATTTAAGGGAAATCTCTAATTTATTTTTTCTGTTCAATTATTTCCAGGTCTATGAAGCATTCCTTCTAACAAAAACACTAACAAAGCCAACTGAAGTAACAACCATGTCTAACAGTGAGTGCGATATTTCATACCCATAATCACCCACCTCTCTAACAAAAACAGTAAAGTAAATGTCCTCATTGCTTCTCTGGGGCCAATATTGGTCATTATAATTATACATTTTGGGACTGTATTTTATGGTCAATAGGATCAGAGACTTAGAGATGGAAGGA